CTTTCCCGAACGACCAAAAAGATTTCGGATAATGAGCAGGTGTCCCAGAAATTATGATAATATCTGTCAGTTGATAATTTTGCTATAATATTACATAATTCCGGTCCGGTTCCGATGCATTCCGACCTGGCAATGATCATCACCAATAGCCGAAAATTTGGGCCGGTATTCTGATCGGCTAGACCGGCGTAAAAGAGAATCAACATACAGCGATAGTAAAATTATCATAAATCTTTAACATTTTAAAAACTTCAAAAAAAAAAAAAAAACAATATTCAGATAAAATTTATTAATGCCGGTCCAGGCGACCAGGATTCCGATGGGTTCCGACCCCGAATTTTTTAGAAATATCCTGTAAGAAATTGAAAATTAATTAATTATACGATATATAAATATCATTCGTAAACCAAAAGTTGAAATAAATATAGATTCTCAGGGAAAAAAGATTTTTCGACAATTAATAATAATAATTTTGATTAAAAAGTAATCTATTTCACTTTTCCATCCAACAGATAATATAAATCCCATTCGTCTAAACCAAAATACAAAGAATGAACATTTCAAATGAAAATTTCAATGGGGAAATACAATATACAATTAATAGAAAGGGTAGTGAAATATATATATTCATTAAGTGAAGTTTATTTTTTTTTTTGAAAATTTTCTTATGAGATTTGATGAAAAAAAAAAAATCCAATATTTTAAGGAAAAAACCCACGGTATAAATATATATAAGGTGGAGAGATTGAAAAATTGAGAAAAAATATTATGGTCAGAAAGAAGGGCGTATAAAAAATAATTTAAGTAAGGGAAAACAAAAAAAAAAAAAAATAATAATAATAATAATAATTTATTATATATGTCTAAGGAACTTCATCAATACAGAAACCTTTGTGCCCGAAAACCGGTCGGGATTAAGTTTTGTTCTCCGAAAGGGTGTCAGTCTCAATTGGAGCAGGGACCTGATGTGCATAACAAATGAAAAAAAAGGGAAACCTAAAAGTTAACACCGTAACGCAGAAAATTTTTTCTTTTTATATATATATATATATTTTTGCTACCAATCCATCCATAAGAAAGATTACTAAAATATCATAGAAACGATAATAATATACACAAGAGAAATAATAATAATAATAATAATTTAAGAAAAGTAAAAAGATCATATCCGATCAATTTAAATTTCCTGTAAATCTTCCATCAATTTCTTCTTCTGTTCCTTGGTGATCATCTTACTCGCCTTTCTGGCCATCAATCGTTCGGTACGGTATTGTTCGTAAAATAATTCCAAAGTAATATCCTTGAATAGCTTGCGGTGACTTGATAAAAGTACATTTCTTAGGACAACAAAATCGCAATGTTTTGGGTTTAAACAATCAATAACACCCCATGCATATTGTCGTCCTAAGATTTTTTCACTTGTCGATGGATCGATGAGCTCAGCATCTTCAGGAGCAATTATAGAAAATGGGATTTGAGTCTGAATATCAGCAAAAGCTTCAGCTACAACTTCAGATTCCGAACCATCTTCTTCATCGACAGGAAAGTCAAACACAGGGATTTGATATTGCTTTATGTCTCGATTGATAGCCTTTTTTAAATTGGCAAGTTGAGTTGTCGTAAGTAAATCAGCTTTTGCAACGATAGGAATGACATTTACACGAGCAGTTAATCTTTTTAAAATACGAATGTCTTTATCGGTTAAACCATTGTTTGTATTATCAATAAAATAAAGACACGCATGAATCTGACTGTCTTGAGCTTTAGGGTTACGTTTTACTTTAGTTTCCTGTTAATTTTTAATTTTAAATAAATTAATTAATAAATAAAATTTAAAAAAATTTTTTTATAACTATAAAATTAATAATTGTTAATTAATAAAATTTAAAATTAACCTCAGCCAATGTTTGATCAAATTGAGCTTCAATATATCTTAATACTTCAGTAACTTGAACATCAAGTCTGAGTTCATTATCTCTTACGAAGCCAGGACAATCGACTAAGGTTAAAGAAATTTTTTCACCCTCTTCTTCGATATCTAAAGTGAAAGAACATAATTCTTTCGTTCGCGCTGCTTCTGCGTCCTGCGCTGTTTCGGCTCTTTTAGATAAAGAAGCGGGGAGCTCTATGTCTTCTTTTAAGCGACGAAGTGTGTCGAAAAGCATACGGATGAAGGAGGTCTTACCGAGAGAGCTAAAACCCACGACCATTAAGTTTAATTGAGAGACTGCGTGCTTACGACGACGAGAACTGCGAGACATTTTACTTGACATTCCGATATTGAAAAGATTTAGCTTATGATAATAAGGGAATTTTTGAGGGGAATTAATGAGAAGATAAAGGGAAATAGCGGGGTCGTTATCGGAAGTCTAATCAAATGGGAGGGATTGGTAAGTTAAGGAAAGGCAGTGCAATTAGGAAATCCCAAGTTTGTGTATTTTATTAAAGCACGTCAGAAAAATCTGCACGAAACGGCAGCTAAATAAAGAAAAAGGGTAAAAAGTCGTGTAGCGTATTCACCTTTTTTTTTTGCGAACTTGGTTTGTTCGTTTAAACACGTTCGTAATCGAATAATAAATGCAGTGAAACGTAAAAACTTTTGGTGGTTGAACGAATGTTGGTGTGCATTTTATTAGAAAAAAATTTGTGCTCGATGTAATTAATATATATGCCGAATTATAATTGTGATACCGATACATGCCAGCGTTATAATCTGCTCAATCTGCTCGCAGGTCATTTTTCTTTTTAAAACTTGAATGACAAATAATCTATCAAAATTAATTATCTATCCAAATTAATAACCAATATATTGTATATGATATTATATGATATCCTGATGTCCTAATGCTTTGATTCTTTATCATTATTGTTACTTTATCGTTATTGTATTACGCTTTATCGTATTACGAAATTTGTTTTACAACTAATCACGTGCAAGATGGATCTACTAACAAGCGTTTTACATTATATATCTTGTTTGAGCTTACTTTCTATTTTTCCGAATACCTTAACGTTACTGGATATAGTAAAAATATATGCACAACGGTAAGAAAAATTACGTAGCATATAGTTAGAAATATTATATTATTAAATAAATATTTTTGTTTTATGCTTTTGTAGTACGTATTGCTATCAATATAACCTATATCGATAGCAAAGCTTGAATCATTATTATATTTAATTTCTGCGATAATATTAAATTTTGAAGACAATGGTAGTTTTTAGGTAAATTAAGATTAAAGGTATGAGTTAAGGTACGAGTTAAGGCATGAGTTAAGGCATGAGTGATACACAAAATTCGTATGGAAACATTTAATATAAATTTTAATATAAATATTAGATATGTATCAAACTGTAACAGGGATAAAAATTCATAATAACTGTTTATAATTCGATTACAAAGTTTGCGTGTAAATCGTAAATTACTTGGAAACATATATGCACCAAACCAAATTTTTGTAATTTATAATCATGATTTAATAATTAACTATTCAGAGTTCAAAATTAAAACTTATTGTATTGCCTCAGAGTAATTGTATCGCTTCAGAGTTATTGTATTGCTTCAGAGTAATTTATACGTAAAACGTGTAATATTCTTGTCCACTTTTGGTATATTTGTTTGTATTTTATGTTTAGCGTTAAGAGTTACAATAATTCAGTAATTAGATATTACCTGTTACTTCATATATATTTGTTTATTATATCTTATCTAATCCAATATATAAAGGGTTTTTTCGGACCTGATAAATTTTTAGGTTTTACCATTGGCATGAGTAACAATTATTATAAATTTTTGTAGCATTTATCGTTATCGATTAATTACTTCTAAATACATAAATAGAATCTGATACGTACTGTGACGATGAAAATTGTGAGATCACAACGGTTAATCATACAGTACAACTCCGTGAAACTACCAAAAGTATACGATCGAGAAGTTAGTTTGATCCTCATCTGTTTCATATTGTGAAAACCAATTGGTAGAGAGGATTCTGAACAATATACATAGAGATTATATTGAATTTTTGCCTAAAAAGAGTATGTATACAATATTTAAAAAGGCAGTTGTTTGTCTAAAAGATTATACTATATTTAAAATAAAAATTACCGTATTCCTCCGAAAATAGGCAAGTAATGCTGGCCACCATTGTTGTAAAGCGGTATCCATTTTAGGAATAAATTTATAATGGAGTATACGTATTTAAATTTTAATATAACACATTGTTAAATGGTACCCCATGCATTAGCTATATCTCTCAAAATTTTGGTTATGAAACTACCTTTGGGGTTCTAATCAAAAAAAAACTTCCTTGTCAAATTTTACTATCCCTTACACAGTAAAGCAAAATTGGCTTGGTGCAGATCCCAATAATTTTAGCAAAAGTCACATTTTTATCCGATGTGAATCAAAAGAATGATCGGCTAAATCTCTCACAAATCATATGAATTCTATAAGATCCCAAAAAGTAAAAGAAAGCTTGTAAGCATAAATAATATTTACAGAAAGCTTTCGAATAGGCTGTTTGGTCTTCATACAATATCTGTCAGGGTTGGTAATGGAATTCAATAAGTCCAATTGAGAGCCAATTGAGCTCTGAATAAAGCAAATGGATACTAGTTGGTTGAGCTCCATTCGCACAAACATTGAGTTCCTAAACACCAGACACCCTTATGATTTAGGTGAGAACTGCATCTATTTGCGCAAACTTGCCTATAAAAATAGTGTAAGGGATAAATTATGTTTGACCCTAACCTTTAGTCTTTGTTCTTACTTCAATATCAAAGAAACTATATATTAGTAGAAAAAGATTAAATCTGATACAAATCAAACAACAAATCAGATATATATATATATTTGGTTTAATCTTTTTCTACTACGTACGTAGTAGCGTTAAACTTTAGTATAATTATTTAAAAGCACCAATTGCATAGGACACCATGTATAATTTCCCTTTTCGAAACTAATATTATTAAAAATTTTGACAGATTTTTAAATAAACTTTAGCTTCTTAAATTTATATCTACTGTAATAGCCTTATTTTTAAGTTCTTATTATTTATAAAGTATATATTTATTTTATATATATATATATATATATATATATTAGTTTGTAATTTTTTATAAAAAATAATGTATAAATATAATTCTACAATTTGTGAAAAATGAAACTTAATTTTGAAACCGGTATTATCCAAGTTTATAGTCGAATTAAAAAATTGCAAACCGGTTTTATTGAATTTAGATTAACCGGCTCAGAACTCCATTTATTAGATAATTAATGTTACGGATTATCGTGAAATCAGATTATCGTGAAATTTGGGGGTCTCGATTTGAAAATATAAGCCCTACC